AATAAATAAATAAATAAATAAATAAATAAATAAATAAATAAAATCTAAAAATCTGAAAAGCATCCAGAATATGTTCAACAAGTAGCAAAATGACTATCTCAATGCTGTCTACTTTTGTTTAGCTTATTCATTTTTAAAAAGTTGGCAAAGAATAGGGAGGAAAGAACACAAGTGGATAATCAACCTGAGAAGTTAAAAATTGTGTATATGTAAAATAACACACAAACCAAGGATCACTACTTTTTAGAAATTTATATTCATGCATTCAAGGCCTGTGATCTTTCAGATGGGGTTTAACAAGAATTAAGGAGAGTGAGCAGGGTACCTAACTAATTCCTGAAACCATCAGGGTCTTCCATTATAGACGTTCAGCTCAAAACTCAGACAACTCAAATTAGAGGCAAAGCTATAATTATTACAGAAAACTGAATTATAATTATCCTGGCACTCACCCATAAAAATATTTCCCAAATCTATTTTAAAAATTAAAAACAGACCAAGGTCTAGAAGCATATCTAGGATCCATCTTAGTATGCTAGTTTCATTCAAGCTGAATTTGCATTTGTTCCTTAATCGCAGTGCTGAACCAGTCCACTACCAAGAGGGAAACAAATTAATTCTGAGTTCCTGAGGAAAGACCCTAGTAGATCTTCTCTTATTTCTTACAGATAATAAAGCTGCAATCAACTGGATCAAATCAGCACAGTATCCACTTTATGTGACTGGGACAATTCAAGCAGGAAAAGTATAGTTCTGTCTTTAAAGAATACACACACACACACACACACACACGGAGTTTCCCATATCCTTTGCCTACCATAATAAAAGCCAAGGATTCTAAATTTCATTTTACCTCACAGTGAAATAATTGAGAGCACACCCAAGATGCCAGAGCTCTTGGCGCAAACCCTCAGGAGGGACAGCAGAGGTCTATACCAAACTTTTTAAAAAGACATTCTTTAAAAATAAATAAATAAATAAATAAACTATAAACCTTATACTAGAACATAGTGAACACCTCCCACGTGATGTGATGTGGAATTATACTATAAAGCTTTCCAAGTCAAAAACACTTTCTCCACACACCAAAAACTGAAGACTAGACTTCCATTATTAGTGATGAATTCCCAGGGGTTCCAACATGTCCCTCTGCTTAAATGCCTATAAGAGGGATTTCCATCATCAATGAGGAGGATCAGTTAGTTGATGCAACCCTTTAGCCAGGAGCAAGTCTGATGGAGAGGGTGTGGGTTGGAGTAGAAGGCACTGGAATCATAGCACACTCTTGTCAAAGGTAGCAGGATCTGAAGGATCAGTCAACAAGGAGGCAGAGCAGAGTTGGGATCCATCTATGCAATTCAGGTATCAAATTTCCTATCTGAGAAGTGAGAAGGCTAAATTTGATGATAGCTAAAAAGTGCAAAATTGACACTTTTGTGAAGCGTGGTAGGTCTGGCTAGAAGTGTAAGGGTAGCCACAAAGGGCTCAGAAGTAGGGAACCAAAATGTCACTAATGCTGGTCATAAAAGCACTGCTGGGGGTGCCTGGGTGGCTCAGTCGGTGAAGTATCTGCCTTCGGCTCAGGTCATGATCCCACGGTCCTGGGATCGAGCCCTGCATTAGGCTCCCTGCTCAGCGGGAAGCCTGCTTCTCCCTCTCCCACTCCCCCTGCTTGTGTTCCCTCTCTCACTGTCTCTCTCTCTGTCAAATAAATAAAATCTTCTAAAAAATAAATAAATATTTATTCAGCACTGCTGAAGGAAAGAGGGAAGGCACTAAAGAAAATGTTCTACAACTGTAACTATGTCAAGAAAATGTTCCAGCACTGCTGGAGGAAAGAGGGAAGGCACTAAAGAAAATGTTCTACAACTGTAACTATGTCAAAAGGCAGTTCTACAGGGAAATCATAGTAACACCTCACGTGTAAAGAGACCATAAATAGAAATGGAGAAAAATTCTGGACTCACATTGGGTCACTGAATTGCTCAAATTTTTATTAAAAGAAATGGGAAAGAAAGTAGTGTGGCCGAAGGAAATAATGTTCTTAAGACTAAAAGGGTGATTAGCAGTGTTGATGGATTTGCTGGCAAATGGAAAATGCTAGCTTTGATGTGCTCCGTCAAGAGCACTCGCTCTGAAATGGCTACAGTAAAATTCACTCCTTCCTTCAACAGATATTAATACGGTGCCTGGTACGAGCTTTTGCTGGATGTAAGAAAGGATACAGTGATTAAAAAAAAACAAAAAAAGACACCTCTACTCTTAAACTTCCAACTTCTGACAGAAGACATTACAGATACATCAGTAAATACAGTGGAAAATGATACAATCGAGTCAAGCAAAGGTTAGGGGTTTGGAAGAAGAGTTGGAGTTTCTGTTCTCATTTTTATTTGCGAAGGATCACAGTTCCTTCACATATTCATTCACACTAGCCAACGTCAAGAATTTCTAAGGACAAGTTTAGACACTTAATAAAGAACAGCAGTTCCTGAACCATCTGCTTTGCTCTGAAAATAAAGATCCGTCACACGCAAATTTTCATTTTACTCCAGCCCTGTGAGAATATTATTGTCAGCTGGGGTAGGTAACATTTGGTTTATAACTGACATGGTGAACAAACCATGCTTTATAAAATGGCTACAATCAGTGCTTCTTTGGGGTGAAAAAAAAAAACCCATCAGATGAGGCCAAAAGTCACTCACTTTCAGCAAGTTCCCTTGATCCATTTAAGCGTCCCGTTACTAATCTTCTGATGAAGAAATGTGCAAAACACAGAATTTAAAATAAACAACAGAACCTTGTTATAGTCAGACAAGGATATAGAACAGAATATCCTAAAAGTTTTTCTTTCTTAAAAAGGGAAATAATCTCCCAAACTCATCATACAAAACTGCAAATCAGAGCAGCCCAACCCTATGTTGTGTGTATCATTCCTACCTGGTAAGGAACAATACTGCCGTGAGCTGTGCCCCAACGTTTTGCTTCCTTTTGGACAATAAGATAATTAGCAGCTACCTGGGTCAAACATGCCACCTGCCAGGAGAAAAAAAAAAGGTAGTTTACTCACAAACAGAAGGTTATACTACGAAAGTTCTCATTTGAATTCACTTCATGTCATTGCAAAAAAAAAAAAGAGAGAGAGAGAACCAACTCCAAACAGATCAGCAAATATACGGGCATCATCATACAAAGAAAGGAAGAGCAGTATTACATTATTGCATGAGACTAAGTATGAATAACACTGGGCTCTGGAAAAGATTACCTGAAGACAGGGGTCGACCCTGTAGATAAAACCTTGGGCCAATCTTTAGCATCAAGACCACAGCAAAATACATCAGCAACCAGTACATTCCTTTCCCCTTTTCACCCACATCCTTTTACTTTGGGTCAAGATGACAAAAAAAGAGCCTTTGTCATCACTGAGGAGCTGAACCAGTCATGAGCCATATTCCTCTAAATTTCTCATTTCATGACAAAAATAACAATAATAAACCTCTATTTTGTTTATATTGGTTCAGTCAAGTTTTCTGTTACTAGCTGCCCAAAGCATTCTTACTGACACAGAGGATCCAAATTATTTGACTTGTTAAAATTCCTCAGTGAATCGTCCTCATTTACACAAAAAGTGCTCTACCCCTCTCAACTTAGTCCTAACCCCACACCCTCATTATTATACTTAGTTCAGTTTTCAAAAGCCCTAGATCTATTAAAGGGGTCACCTAAAACCTTAGAGTCAACCTCTGACTCCTGCAGTATTTCATACACATAGCTTGAAAACCTACAATAATTCAATTCCATTTGAGGATAACATGAGGATAATGAACTTGATTCCCAGTGACCCGCCACAAGGAGCTTCTGTTCCCACAAATGGGAACATGCCTCCTAGGGCCCAAACTATGGAAAGACAAACCTAATAACAACCATCCATAGTTCCCAGAAAAAAAGCTTCTGGCCTCATAACATAATCATGATATACCATGGGCTCATTTTCCCATCCTAGGTCATCAGATGTGAGGGGGAGCCTCCCAAACCAGCAAGTCAAACAGATCCCAAACTGAGTTTGGCTCCTGCAACAACTCCAGGGGTGGTTTTTCAGGGTTTGGGGAGGCAACCTGTGACTGGCCTCTACCTGGCCCGGCGGCTTGCCTCCCACACAGCCTATCGATAGGGCTCAGCCTGCTTGAATCTCTTAGAGCAGCATTCTGCTTTCCTTTATTCGTGGGATTGACCCTCACTTTTATGTTCATTTACTGCTCTGTTGAAATTGGAACTGCCTTATGGCAGCTGGTTCGGCTGTACCACCCAGGTGGCAAAACTAATAAACCTTGAGTCATCCACTTCTGGACCTCCATCTGGTCTCGGGCATTTGAACCACGGAGCATTCCAGGGCTGCCTGGGGCTGCCTAGCGCTAATCACCATCTCGCAGATCACGTCTGTGTCTTTCAAAATGGAAAATCAAATCAACATTTTGTAGTAAAAAATGCACTGGATGGGAAGTCCAGTTTCACGGTTTTTCATTTCTGTCGACTCTAAGTAGTTGTACAACTGTAGGTATTTAATTGAACTACTTTGACCTTCAGACACATTCTCTATAAAATCTTGGGCATTTGACCAAAACGGATGGTTTTCAATCTTTTTTTTTTTAAAGCAGAACTCCTGTATCACACCGAATAATGCATGAAATCCTAATATGTGAGCAGGTAATAACCCGAGTGTTCTTGTTGAAGCAGAAGCTGGTCTCCAATGTCACCCCGGGCAGCATGAACACAAAACACAATTTGCAAAATAGTAAATGGTCTTATATTTGCTTCCAAGGTCTACACCTCTGACTATTACTCTTCTTAACAGTCTGGCAGATACCAGAGATGCAACTGTAGTCATTTTCCCATAAAAGCTCTTCCTGAAATTGGGGACATTTTCTCAAGTCTGAGGTTTTTCTCTAAGAAAGGTTTTTCTTGGATCTAGCTCTGTTGGGAGTGGGGATGGGGGTTGTTCCTTTCAAATAAATTCCAGTGAAAGTCACTCTCCAAGTTGCTCTGGTGCTGGATCCACATTAATAAAGGTAATTCTTTGCAAGCAAAGAATCATAAGAGGCTTGGTATTTCTACTTTTTTAATTTCAAAGTCAACTGCTAGGCAATAGACCAACATCAGCATAGCTGCAAGAGGTAGTGGATTGGGGTTCCTGGGTGGCTCAGGTGGTTAAGCATCTGCCTTCGGCTCAGATCATGATCCCAGGGTCCTGGGATCAAGCCCCACATTGGGCTCCCTGAACAGCAGGGAGTCTACTTCTCCCTCTCTCTCTCTCCCTCTGCCCCTCCCCCTGCTCCTGCTCTCTCTCTCTTTCTCTCAAATAGATAAAATCTTTAAAAAAAAAAAAAAGAGGTAGGACTGACTGGATGATCACAGGTTAACCTGTGAATCCTAGATTGATCCGAGATGGTTGACAGGAGTAGGTATGGACTGGATTCTAGGCTGGAGATCAGCCTGACTGCCTCATTTCTGGTTCATGACCTCTTTCTTTCTTCTCAATTTTGACTTCTGTGTTTCTGACCCTACCTTGCTAAGCTGTATCTTTGACAACTATTTCATAAAAGTAGCCCTATTTAGAGTAAGTTTGAATGGACACTCAAAACTTATCTCATAGACTATTTCTAAATGGGATCTCTATCTATTTCTTCCACACAATGGTAACTCATGAAAACAAAAAGCATTTCAGAACTAGCAGGCTCCCACTGGGCAGAAAGGTTAGATAAGATTTTAAGCCACGGCCACCCAAAAACAAAGCATGATTTGTCAGTAACTATTCAGAGGCAAATCTGGGGGGAAAAAGAATTCTATTTTTAAAAAATAGAGAGCAACAGGGCTAAACTTAGCAACCCACTGTTTAAAAGGGGCATTGCAAATCTGAGAGTAATCTACTATTTACAATGAAGTATTTTAAGGCAGGAGAAGGGAAAGAAAGTCAACAGCTATGATGTGATTATGTATGAAAAATCAGGCTTCCTGGCAATTAATGACAAATTTTCCACAAATCAAAAGAATGCAGGATGTGACTTTTACGTTAATAACTACATACTGTATATCCATTCTAAATATTGCATTAGATCATTACTTTCATCCCCTAAACTTAGGCTCATTATTTCATCATGTGGATGCTATATAATTTACTCAGAATGTTGCCTTTATATGGTTTCATCTAAACAAAAAGACCAACTTTGGTTTAATAATAATCATTCTGACAGCAAAACTATTATTTTAGATAACATAGTGGGTCCTGGTATTCTGTGTGTCTAACCAGAAAACCAACGGGGTGGTCAAAGAGGATCTCAAAGGGCACAGCCCCAAAAGACATGAGGAAGAATACACCCAATTATTTTCCAAAGCAGCCCCATGCTGTCTGCCACCCCATGTCTCACGTCTACCAAATGAGGATTGAGCTGCAATAATAGAATCTTTCATCTCCAAAAGGACAACCAACTATGACAGGTAAAGTGGGGAAAACAACACTCAAACTCTGGTCCATTGCATCATAACTGGTGGGTTTTTCCCTCCTGCTCCCTTGCACAGACTCTGGCCTCCAACTGAGCTGGACTGAACACCAGTCATGCTTCGCTTCTTCACCCGCCCATCTCTCCATCCACTCTTGAAAGCCCATTTTCAACACCACGATTTCCATTAAGTCCCCCTCATCACTGAAGCAAAAACTATTTTCCCTGCCTCTGAACAAACACAACAACTTAACCTGCCTATTCCGGCTTCACCTTCATAGTCTAGCTAAGAAGACCTAGATCAGTGGTTCCTAAACCTAGCTGTGCATCATAATCACCTGGAGAATTCTTGGACCCCACCCCAGGCCCACTGAATCAGACTCTCCAGGGATGGAGCCTGGGGAAAAAAAAATAATTTAACCAATGCATCATTCACTGCACACCAGATTTGAGAACCAAAACCTCAGGAAAATCTAGCCAAACCCCTTAATATTAGGGACGGCTAAAGAAAGAAACAGAGAAGGAAATAACTTATCTGAGGTCACACAGCTGGTTAATGACAGAACTGTAAACTACTCCAACTACAGTGTCCTCCTCCATGCTACAATATTATTCATAGCTGATCCTATCTCTCCTTTTCAACTGGAACTATTTCAGGTTAAGAACTGTGTACTGCAAACTCTTTGTACGTTCTCACAGAACCTAACAGAGCTTCTGCACTAATTTTTTTTAACGCACAAATGAAAACAGTAATGATTAGTTTTATTCAACAAATATGAGTGCTGCTTTGTAGAAGGCATTGTGTTAGGTACCAGGTATGCAAAAGTAAATGGAAAGATGTAGTCCTGCCCTCTTTGGACTTAAGAAAAGTGAAGAAGACAACTAAACAGTTACAGGAACTGCCATGGGGAGAAGTTTAAAAGCAGAAAGAACAACATGGGTGAAAGCCCTAAGGCAAGAGAGTGGCATACAGGAAAGAGAAGAAAAAAGAGAAAAGGAAAAAAAATCCGAAAGTAGACCAATGTAAGTGAAGCATGACAAGAAAAAGATAGGAAATGAAATCGGAGAGGATGACAGATCACACCACCTCCTGCAGGTCATGGGGTAAGGAGTCATTCTCTGCATACCTTTCAAAATGATCGTTTTATTTTTTGAAGTCATCACTACATCCAACATGGGGCTTGAATTTACAACCTCGAGATCTAAAGTTGCATGCTCCACTGACTTAGCCAGCCAGGAGCCCCTCACCATGATCATTTTAAAATCAAGAATTGGGGGCACCTGGGTGGCTCAGTCATTAAGCGTCTGCCTTCGGCTCAGGTCATGGTCTCGGGGTCCTGGGATTGAGCCCCGCATCTGGCTCCCTGCTCGGGGAGAGGCCTGCTTCTCCCTCTCCCACTCCCCCTGCTTGGGTTCCCTCTCTCGCTCTGTCTCTCTCTGTCAAATAAATAAATAAAATCTTTAAAAATAAAAATAAAATCAAGAATTATAGCACATCATCCTTCTATTTAAAACTCATAGGGCTTCCCTCTGCATTTGCAA